CTCCCGTGCTCCTCGGTGCCCCGGAGCCGGGAGGCTGGCAGCGCCGCCACCCCTCCACCCCTGTCCGCCACCCCCTTCCTCGCTGCGCCTGCTGGGCTCCCCCAGCTTCACTTCTGCCCCCCCCGTGCTGCACACTGGGCTCCGCGTTGCCCCACGGCTGGTGTGCAAGAAGTGGGGGCCGCTGCAGGCAGTGACCAGCTCTGTTAGAAAGGCTGAGCCGGGGTCACCCTCACCCTCTCCCGCCCTGCTGAGCCCTTACCCCTCCTCGGGTCTGGCTCTGCTCCCTCCATGGCACACTTGCGTCCGCCCCTGTGCACAGCCCACGCAGGACCCAGCTCCCATGGCAGCACTGCCCCACACGCAGCAAGGGAAGCAGGGTGTCCTCCTGCCCCATCCTGCCCACAGCAGTGGGGCTCTGCCTGCATCGCTCAGCGGGGTCAGAGCTGTGATGAGGTTATGGGTTCACCCTGCGGCACCAACCACAGAGACCCATGGCGCCTGGATGTGGCTGCTCCCCAGGCACAGCACCTTCTGCCAGCAAGTCATGATCTCTTCCAGCTTCCTGCCTCAGTTTCCCCAGCTGGTGACGGAGGGTTAGCTCAGCTAGAAAGGCTGAGCTGGACCCCTCACCCACAAGTCAAGCAACCCTCTGCGACCCTGCCTAGTGGCACAGCGGTAGGGGAAACACCAGCTCCCTGCCTCCAGAACAAGCCCAGCACCGGGTACCCCCCACAGGAGATGCGGCTCTGCTGGGGAGGTGCGTGCCTGGCCGGGAAGCCGGGGTCCCCGGAGGACAAGTAATGAGACAGCTGCCCATGAGCTCGACAAGAGGCCTTGCTTCTCCCCGGGGACTGCGCCACAGGTCAGCGTGACCTTCACTGTGCTGCCGATGCCAACGGCAAAGCTTTCCCCAGTCGTCCAGCAAGCGCACACACATCTTCAATCTTCCCATCGATCTGTGCATGGCACACATGTTCCTGCCTTTGTGCGGGTCAATACAGCATGATAGGCTGCCTCCGGCAGGGAGCACGCACAGCCCCAGCCGCCCGTTTCACCCTGCCCAGGGGATGGGGTGTGCACGTGCCAGCCCCGCATCCCCAGCTCGGAGAGGCATGGTGGGGAGCTGGCTGGGCAGGTGGCCTGAGCGCCACCGCCACCACGGGTGGCCCTGGCCACACGGCCACACAGCCACAAGCCCCAAGCTGCTTCCACCGGGCTGCTTGGCCCTGCAGGGATGCTTGGCCCTGCAAAGACTGCAGGTGGCAAGGGCCTGATCCTGTGGTGAGGAGGTTCTGCGGTGCAAGGCAATGGCCTGCATTGGGTCTTTGGTCTGCAGAGTCTGGTGCAGAGTCCCTGCCTGCGTCTCTCAGTGCCGTGGTGGAGAGGGGGGCGAGGGCACGAAGGATCTGCCAGGCAGGTCCAACCCGTAAGCACAGATCCTGAGGTACAGGGCAAACCAAGCTGTGTGAGCATGAGACCGGCAGGAGCCCGGTGTCCTCTGTGCGCTGGACAGTCATGGCATGGGAGCAGGAATGTCTCTTGGCTCCCTGCACGGCCCTGGCCACCACACCACAGGACCACAGACCCCTGCTCTCTCTGGGCATCTTCTGCTCCATTAGCAACTGCCACCTGGGCTGGGGACACCTCTCAGTTCCCTCCCCACAGCATGGTCCCCTCCTGTGCGGCCAAAGAGAAGTGTCCTCTCCTCCCTCCTCTCCTGCCTCTCCTCCCCTGCTGTGCCCTGGTCCTGCCCGGCCACCCGGCAAGGGCAGATGGGTGCTGGGGGCTCATCCCCTTGCAGGATGACCCAAGGCACAGGGCTGAAGTGCAGCCAGGCTGGGTTGGGATCAAGTTGTGCCTAAGTGAGTGGCACCCAAGGCACAAGCCCTGTCTCCAGCTGCAGCTGCAGGCCTCCTGCAAGCCATGGAACAGGGAGGGCTGTGGCTTCATGGCCACCGGCACCCAGGGAGAGGGTACACTGGGAGAGACACTGGGCTGGAAGGGCAGGGACCAGGGAAGCAGCATAGCTGGGAAGGGAGGCGGCAGGGCTCAGGGACTGCTTTCTCGTGGGACCAGACAAGGCAGCGAGCATAGCACCAGCTGGGAATGGCCGGTGCTGCCACTTGGCACCATGTCTGCAGCTCACGGTTCTGCACCGGAGCCTCCCACCTGTGGCATGGCATGCCTGCGCATGGGGGGCGCGAGGCCACAAGGAGGGACTCTGCAGCGTGCAGCGGGGCTCGTCTGCCCCTCCGCCCGGCCACGAGCAGCTGCAGAGCCTGTCTGTCCGATGATGCTGCCACATCCAGCCCTTGGGTTTGATGCTAACAGCCGGGAGAAGCCTGATGCCCTGGGCTTCGGAGTGCCGACTTCACTAGCCACCGTGCAAGCGAACTGACAGGAGGGGAGAGCCAGCCGAGGGCTTGCTGGCAGATCAGGAAAGGGGGGTCCCCCCTGCTCACCCCCATGCTCCCCAGCCTGGGGGGATGCTGAGCAGTGGGGGCTTGGCGCAGGGCCCACGCGCTACACTCAGATGACAGGGGGAGGCTGCGAGTGCCGGGGAAGACAGGACTGGAATTCGAAATGATGTTGACAAATCGGAGAAATGGCCTGAAAACAATCAGATACAATTCAAAAGGACAAGCGCCAAGATCTGGGCTGGGGCGGGAAGCAAATCTGCCCAGCGAGTGGAGGTTGAGCGGCCAGAGGGCAGGGCTGCTGAGTGGGCAGCAGGGCAGGGCAGAGCCCCGGCTCGGCAGCAGGCAGCAGTGTCGGCTTGTCCAAGTTTAATACCAACACCCAGGACAGTCCCAGGTGGATAAACAAGGCATGCAGAGGGTCAGACCCCCCCAGGCAGGATGCACTGTGCAGGTGCGGTTATCTGTACGCGCAGAAGTTGCGTTTCCAGATGCCCAGCAGCTAGACAGCTGCTTGGAAAAGCAGCCGGGAGCTAGGAAAAAACAGGAGAAGCCTCATTCATTTGAGATACGGGATCTGCCAGTTTAATATGGGATGTCTGGCTGCCCTGCAACTGCTCTGAGCTCAGTGGAAAGGAGGACGTTGCCCAGGGCTGTGTGAGAAGGCATCTGAAGCACTTGCTGGCGGTGAGGCCTCGGTGGGAGCCCTGTGCCTGGTCCGGGACCACACATCAAGAAAAATCCAAAGTGATTGGAAAGAGTAGAGAGGATGGCAATAACAGAGAGCAGTGCTGGAGACCGGCTGGAGGCACTAGGGGTTTGGACGAGATCAGAGGAGGCTAAGGGGCTGCATCTGTAGACAAAATAACTGCTGTGAGCACAGAAGGAGGGGGCTTTCTAGAGCATCAGGGCCCTGACACACCGTGGAAGACAGCAGGGGTTAGGTGGATTCTCCACGTGGGACAAGCTGGCCCACAGCCTGGAGGGGTGCTTGGTGGGACTGATCCTGCCGTGGTGCCCTCTGGCACCCTTGTGATGATTCATCCCCCCCAAGACACAGACACTGTCCGTTTCTATTCTTAAGCCAATCTGGATGAGGGTTTGGTTGTGATTTCCCTATCTTGCCACCGAGCCGATGGATTAACTCTTTGCTGTACCAGCACCCGACCTCCTGCCACGCTCCAGCACTGGCACTGTGTCGCTGCAGTGAGCCCACCCTCCTGGCCACCCCGCGGGGCTGCGGCTCCTCAGCGTGGGCACAGGAGATCAGCCTGGTGGACCGAAGGGTGCTGCAGTTGGGGCAGCCCGGGCAGGTGGGGGACAGAGGTGACGGGACAGCTACATCCCTGGGCAGGCAGCAGGCACCTGCCCAAGGGGAGACCCCCAGCAGGCGGCCCCCACCTGATCCCCTGCTAGTCTGAGCTGGCCGGGACGTGGATCCTGCTTGCTGGGCACTCCTGCCGCCAGTCCAAG